ATAGATAGATAGATAGATAGATAGATAGATAGATAGATAGATAGATAGATAGATAGATAGATAGATAGATAGATTCTATGAAGCCTTCAAATGCGGTGGCTAAAATTGCACTGCTAGCTCATACTGTATTCAGTTTGCAGTTTACTGTTCCAAACACTTTTTCACAGCTACGATTATCAGACATCCCATATTCTGTACATACGCATTTGATTACTGTTTCCTAAATGAAGAATATTACATTTATTTCTGTTAAATTTCATTCTGTTGATTGATTACAGGCCATCAAGTTGTTTTCACCTATGCATAGCAACTACCCAGATAGATTTTCTCAATGGCAATCTATCCCTAGCCTGTTCTTTCAGGTCTCCCAACGGTGCACTCATTGCCACTGTAACTGAGTCCATCCACCTTGCTGGTGGTCATCCTCTTCTTTTTCCTTCCACCTCTCTCAGCATTAAAGGTTTTTCCAGAGACCTAAGTCTTCTGATAATGTGTCTGAAGCAGGATAATTTGAGCTTTCTCATTTGTGCCTCGAGTGAGAACTCTGGGTTAATTTGTTGGATGATCCATCTGTTTGTTTTCTTGACTGTCCATGATATTCTCAGGAGTCTTCTCCAACACCAAAGTTCAAAAGCATCAATACTCTTCCTATCCTCCTTCTTCAAAATCTAACTTTCATTTCCTTATAGTGTCACAAGGAATAACATTCATTCAATGGTATTTACAGGGAATACCATTCATTCTGTTAATTACATCCATTTCTCTAATCTATGAGATTAGTTTTGAATTTTGTTTTCTGTACTATTAGCAGCTATCCCACTCAGTTTTGTACTATGTGCCTTTTGATAAGCACTGCCTCTTCATTCAAGTCATTAATACAAATATTTAAGAATAGAAGATGCAGAACTGAATCTCATGATACTCTGTTACAAACTGGGAGGGAGAATAATTTCCTCCCTGGCAGACCCCAAGGGTTTCCCAATAAAAGATAATTATGGTCCCTAGCCCATCTTACTAGGGGTTTCTTAGCCCATGTACCAAGGACTTCGTTCTCAACCTAGCTGTAGCAAAATTTTAAAAAGAAGCACTTCAGACCTTTCTATCCAAAGGCTGTAAACACAGTAGAGAACAGTACCTTGCACATAGGAAAGGTTTAAATGAGAAGGTATCTTCTGAAACCAATGAAGCTAAATCTATAGATTTAAAAAGGACTTTACTGGGAAAAGGTATAACTATAATTCTGTTCTCCCTCTCTGTAGGACTTAGTAAATTGCCCTATCATGGCAGGGTCTATATCCTTCCTCTCCAGAGCTAGTTCTGCCCTGGTGTCTTCTCATATTTTTCTTGGAACAGACATGGTAGAGGCAGGAAAGGGATTGGCAGTGGATCAGTACGTTTTATGCCAGGATTGTTTGATTGATGTGCCATCAAGTCATTGTCAAATCTTAGTGACCATGTACAGTAGCTTTTCTCCATGAATTGGAGAAAAGATTGTCCAGGGTTGTTTTATGCCAACTTAAAGTTGGCTGGACAATACAGAATAGATGTTTAAGAGCTGCTTCCCATACGTACAGTTTCCTGAGTATGAGAAATAGACCCTGCAAACAGAAAATTTTTTACAAAAAATAAGATTTGTAAGTTTACAAATATAACACCCAACAGAGAAGCTGAAGGAGCCAGTGATCCATATCCATACTGATGGGCAAAAGTTCCCCATCCCAGGCAGCTTCACATATTGCCCTATGTTCAAAGATTTGTTTGTGCCACAGTGTATTGAACAAAGCCAGTTGTGACTTGTTTAACAAACCATTCAACCAATCATGGCATAGCACAATCATAACCCAAGTTATGGGTTATGCCATAATGTAGTTTACTTGTTTCTGGCTTGGTGTTGTGCAAGCAAAACCAGTACGGTTTGTAAGCCACAGTTTGGGTGTACTGAGCCAACTGAACTTTATTTCCTAGAAACAGACAAGCAGACCATAATGCAGAGTGTTCTGTTTTCACAACTCATGTTTACATAACTGGTTAGCTAGGTTCACCAAAGACCCTAGATTGAAATACTGTCTGATTTATGTGTCAACCCATGCAGCTGGTTTAATTCAGCAAATTCAGTTAATCATGGGCTAGCATTCTGTCCAAACACACTCTATTAGGCAGCTTATTATAACTGAGATAGTAGATTACACATTTCTGAACTTTTACTGGTAGTTGTACCTTTCATAAAGAGGATCATTACCAAAATAGTAACAGTACAGTGCCTGTATTTGTGAGATATATTTACCCATTATTAACTATCACATGTTTTACTCAATCCAACTTTCTGGGATCCCATGACACTTAAGCAAATTGATGCTAAGCTGGAATTTGGTGGACTTAGTTTGTATGTTCATTGTGTCAATTGTTTAGTTTTGCTACATGGTAAAGGAAAATATGATAGTAGCTTCCCAGACTTTATCAGTTGCAGGGGTCTGGCAAGTTATCACTTACCAAATTTTCTGTTTTTGTAATGCTGAATTTATCTATTTAAAAAAAACAGCCTGCTTGCTATTAAAGGTCAAATAGTTGATTATAGTCTGTCTTCCATTAAAAACTGTGTGGCAAATAATTAGGGCCATTATTAACAATTATTATTCATTTATTTTATTTTTATTATTATAGAATAGCAAGGATAATTTTAATGTCAATTTGCACCAAAATATATTGGTCCATTCCACTATAGAAAGGCATGAATATTAAGACCTGGGAATGAACTGAGACAGAAACAATATAAGCTTTCTGTTGACCCTTAATTCATTAAATTAAGACATGTAATTAAATAAGTTTTCTGTTTTTCAAAATCCAACACTTTTTGCTTCCAGCACCTGGACTTCTATGTTAGAAAGCTAGGTCCCTAATAATTTTGTACCTTCTAGCAAGTTTTAAGCGAACTAGAAACGGCATCAGACAAATTTGATAAGTCTAGCTGTACAAATCCAAAGGTTAGCTTTTTTTGGTCCAGATTGACTGATAACAGAACGAGAGAAAAGCTTTATTTGTTCTTTTGGCGTGCTGCTACAAATACAGAGTTCTGCCAACCACCCTAACTAGCTATAATGTACAGTAATTACAAGCTTTTTTTTTTGGTTAATCATAGTTAAGAAAGGACCTCTTCCACCCTGTTAAAGACAAGACTAAACTCTCAATCTACCAAAGTACGCAGCAAAAATATCATTTACAGAAAGAGGTCAGCCAAGATTTCAACTAAAAATTGCTTCAGTACTTGAGTTCGAAACTTTTTCATTCTGCCCCTCGTGATCGAAAAGGGTAAGAGTGACTCACTCCCCCAGGGCAGAATGGACTGAACCAACGCGGAGAAGAGCGGGGAACAGACATTGGTTCTACCGTGAACACCTCCCCCCTCCTTCTGCCAAGCTGTAACATTTGTTGTAGCACTAGAGCTCGGAGAAAGTCGGGTAGTAGGAATGTACTATTATCGTAGGGGGTAGCGCACTCATTGTAATTTTCTCATAAATACTTTGGATCATAAAAATATACTTTCATTTAAAAAAAGACAACGATCTGTCAAAGCGTTGAGTAAAACATCACGCTGCCCGGTTCCACTTGATGTAAATAGCAGGCCCTCCCACCCCCCGCTTTTTAAGGCAGGAAATGGCTCGACCCAACGGGTAACTGCTTCCTCCTTCAAGTCGCCCGTCTTTTCTAGAGATTTTCTTGACTGCCGCTGCGTGAGAGGCCGGAGGGGCGTCGAGGAGGGAGTCGCGGTGCGCGCTGAGGCGTCTTCAGGCGGGGCCCAAGATGTCGGTGGCGTTCGCAGCCCCCAGGCAGCGGGGCAAAGGCGAGATAACGCCGGCTGCCATCCAGAAGGTGGGGTGTAGGGCCTAGCCCGGGGAGGCCGGCTGCTTCGCGTCCCTTTCCCCGTGTAGAAGGGGGTGGGGGAGCGAGGGGGTCGGGATTCTGCCTCGTCTCTCCCCGCGTGTGAGCTGGAGATGGGTCGAGCCTGGCGCTCGTGACCTGGTAGCGATGCTGGACGCAATCTTCATTTTGATGCCACGCTTCTTTTTTCTCTCCTTGCTTTCGCCTACCTGGCGTTTCGAGGCTTTGAGGTCTCGACTGTGGGACGAAGTGTATTGAAAACATGGGAATTTGCTCCTCTGCGGCTGTGTTTGCGTGACACACTAGATTAGTCACGTTGTGGCCTAACCTGTTGTGCGATCCCAGCTTGTGTAGTAAGCTTGCAGTTCAAACTCAGAATGAGGTTGTATAAACCATGGTTTAATGACCCGGGGAAAGATGTGTTCTGCGAGCACAGCAAATAGATAGGGATGGAATTCAGTTGTAAATTCGGGTAGCCTGGACCAACTCCATATCCCTTAAAGCAAGGGAGTGACTGTGACTCCTGTAAGGGGCCTGTGGAGGATAGTGATGTGGATAGGGAGGATAGCCACCTTGGGAGCTCTTATTGATTTTATATGGATAGTTATGGCAGTAATAATACAGCTTGTTTTGGTCTTGCTACCATAGGAATGGTCAGGGAGTAGTCCATATAACTCTGCTACCTAGTTGAAAAAAAACAGGGATAGAGTAGGTCAATCTTCTCAATGTCTTCTAGTTGTATTGCATTTCAGCAGTTCTTGATAGCTGGGTGGATAATGGAAGTTCCCATACAACCTTGGTGGATACCAAGTTTGTGGAAGACTGATATAAGGTATCAAAAAAAGATTCTAGTGAGACATAGACTGCGTTCACACAGAATGCTAAACCACATTATTGCATGTTTGTAATTTAATTCATTTTCTGAATTCAGTGGTTGTGATCCATAAAGCATGAATTATAGTTTATTGTGTTGAGAATTAACTAGTTGTAGTTTACTCAGTAAACCAAGGTTGAGCAAGCCACAATTAGTGTGCTTTGTGAACATAGCCACACACCTAAAAGAAAAAAGCTTAGTATAGAAGGAAATTAGTTAAATGAGATAGATCAAATGTAGTAGCAAAGGAACTCAGGTAATGTTTTGGACCATTGCTCAAGAAAGTGAGGACATTCTTGACATATATGACAGCATGTTAATGTTAACTTGCCAATTATTAGTGGAACAAATAATGAGAGCAAGAACTAGCATATTAATTCATACACTTCACAATAAAGTATGGTGATTCTTTTTGGACTCCAAAGAACCTGCGAGGTAGCCAGTGCTTGTAAGAGTAGGATTTTAAGATCAACCAAGGTCACTTAGGTGCTGCCACCTGCTGAGGGAAAGTAATAAAGTAAGACTTAAATAAGTAAAGTAAGATTAATTTTGAAATTTTGGGGTTCGAGAGATGTACTACTTTCATCTGAGGATATATTCAAGTATTTTTGTTGCAACTTAAGCAAAATCCATAAAGTATCACTAACATAGGATCAGTATGCTTCATATAAAAAGATAGAGGATAGTGAACAGACAACAATGTATGTATTTTTGTTTCTCTTTGAATATTGTCTAGGACTAAAAAGATGTAGTTAAAATGTGAGTTAATGGTTTCTGCTAAGTGCTGTGGGAAATAGGTTAATAAAGAGATTTTATCCAGTTGTCCTTCTGTAATTTAGAATTGCTGTTGAAAAGTGTTTCTGTAGTTGTAGGACTGGAAAAACTGCTCTAGGAATCTGATTATTACAGCTGCTCATACTGTAGCCTTAAAGAAGAATGTAAAGTTCTTGTTGGTGCATGTTACAAACATAAAGGCTTAAGTCACTGGTACTGTTCAAGGCCTATAGTGGTTAAAAAAACTAAGTTAAAAAACATGAAGTCTTGGACCAGTCATTGGTCTCTGCTCAGACTACTTCCTTCCCTACCTATAATATTAGACTAATAATTTTAATCTAAGTTAATGAACTTTTAATTAAAATTAATGTGAAACATTTCAGAGCATTCAGAAATGAAATATTGATGCTATGTATTGATTTGATTTCCATTAAAAAGTAGCTTGTATTAACTAAGCAATTTTAATTCACTTGTGAATCTTGTAGCTTGCTTCCTTCCAAGGAAAATAAAAAGATGCTTTTAATAACTAAAGTAATATAATTTAGTAGATCTATTTAAAACAATTTGTTCTGTCTGTTGTAACTAATATCCCTTAGAAGAAATTTGGATTTTTCCTCCTGAAACCTAGCCATGAAATATAGTTGTTAGAATGACAGAAAACGGTCATTTATTTAAGAGTAGTGAATAAGAGTAATATAAAATCATTGTTTTCAAATGTTGACCATGTTTAAGTGAAGTTTTTTTCTACAGTACTCTAATTTTGTAAGACTGACTCATCCAGTTTTGATATTCTTAATTCTTCTTCCCAAAGCTAAAATATCTACTTTGAAGGAAACTTTGTTGCTTTCTATACAAAGTGATTGATGTAGGTGTGTGTGAGTCTATAGTATAATAGAACAGTTTTCATTGTTAAATCTAGAAATCTGTTGCTTGCTTTTTTTGTTCCTTTCTTTAAACTAGGAAAAAAAGTAACAAACTGTAGCCCTATTAATAAGTTGGAGAGATAACTTATAACTCAGGCAGCCTTTTTTTTGGTGTAGACTTTTTATTATTATTGTTGACTGCACACTCAGCCAGAAGTTTACACTGGATTTGGCATTTTTATTCACCTATTATTATATTATGTATTAAACTTGTATGCCGCCTGACTCCCAGTGACTCTGGGTGGACTCTTATGCAACTAAGAGGTCTCATTTTACATTTTCCTGCCACAGAAGATCATGCAGGACTGCAGGGAGAAGTGTAGAGGCTACAACAAGAGAACAGGGCAAGAGCCTTGCTATTGCTCTCTTATCATTCTGATCACTTGGGTTTGTGGTAAAAACTAATACTGTAAAGCTGAACTCAAGATTTCTGAAGATAGTTGTTAAGTGTAGCTCTTATTGGAATGGGACAAATGATAAATTATAACTTCAGTTTGGCTAGCAATCTTGTTGTAAGTAACTATAGGGAAGGGATCAGTCTTTTGCAAAACTTTCAGAAATGCATGGCTTAAGTACAGCTGTTAAAAAAACACATTTTGGCAAAATAAAGTTACTAGTTGTTTTTTTTAGCCTCATCTTGAGCATCCTTATTTAAGGTAAAATACTCAGACAGGTTAGAGCTCAGTCAACACTAGAATATCTCATGCTAAAAATCTGTTCTGTTGTTTCAGATGTTGGATGAAAATAATCACCTTATTCAGTGTATAATGGACTACCAGAATAAAGGCAAAACTTCGGAATGCTCTCAGTAAGTTAATGTTGATTTCAGTAGTTCTTTAGAGAAGCTGCCATAAGTGGACACAGCCATAAACTGGGCATAATGGCAGTTGTGATCCAGTATACTTGGCAGGGATCAATTTGGGAAGTATAAAGTCAAATCACTTTGAATCAGCCTGAACTCCTAGTGACTATATGAATATGTCCACACTGTTTTCATAGCAACAGAACAGAAGTAGTTTGCCATTGTTTTCAATGAGTACTTTTTAAAATTTTCCCGGTCTAGTGTACATCACAGAAATCTCGTCCAAGTCCTAGAATGCTTGGGAGAGCAGGTCTTTCTGTGCACAAGAAAGGTTGAACAAACTACTGCTTAGCAGGTATTTGGAGAAATCTGAATCCGTTTCTGAATACACAGTATTAGTATTAACTAAACTGTTGGCAATAATATATTTGAGACAATTTGTCACTGAATTGGTTTTGTAACATAGAGGTATGAAGAATTATTCGATAAGCAAATTAAAAGCGTTCCTCTATAAGCTTAGAGGAAGGCAGAATAGGCTTTAGGTGAGTGTTCTAAAAGGGATACAAATGAAAAGGCTCTGTCATTTTCTTTCTCCAGTCTGGTTTTCCTAATGGTAACATACTTCCAAGTAGTGTGAATTCCAACTCTCAGAATTGTTATCAATGTCCATGAACTTGGGATTTTGGGGATTGAAGTTGACACATTGGGAAGAAGCCCAGATTGGGAAAAAGCTAGCCAATAGGACCTCGCTGTTCAGAATCAACATAACACTAAGTCAAAATGTCATTTGTTTCTGGCTTGCATGGGTAAACCCAATCATTGTGGTTTGCAAGCCATGGCTTAATGTATGCATGAATCTAGCCACTGTGATATACCCAGTCTCCTCCTTCCCAACTGTTAAATTATGACTTTAACATGGCTATATTTGTCAACATACCCTCTCAGTCTTCTGTACAAGAAGGCAAAATACAGAAGATTTTTATGTACAGTAATTGACCTAAAGGCTGTTAGTGAGTGATTTAAATGTGAAAGATAGCACTTTGAAATAAACCCTACCATTAATTAGTAGCAAAAATATTCTGTTACCTTGCAAATTATTTTATTGACAGTAGATTCTTAAATTATTATTTTATCATTTGTGTACTTTTTTTCCAATTATACAGTTGAAAATTATAGAAGTATACAATAATTATAACCTACATATTGGTGGAAAGTGGTGAAATGGGAATTTTTGACTTCAATTTTTTTTTAAATCTTTTGTTTAAAATTAGGTATCAGCAATTGTTGCATACAAATTTGGTCTACCTAGCCACAATAGCAGACTCCAATCAAAACATGCAGTCTATATTGCCACCAGTAAGTACCATGCCAAAACAATTGCATTCTCTGAAAAACAAAGATATATTGAACAAAAACGTGCTGTAATACATATAGTTATGGTTTAGTCTGTATAACTCTGTGAGTGTTGTATTTCATGACTATAACTTTTTATAATATAGAATTATAAAATCGCGTATACTTAGACATATATTTTTGAGTATTATCTGCATTTTTTATTAGGTGAGTCCTTGTAATTTTTCATTTGGAATTTTTCAGTTCTAGGTTATCTCTTGAGCATTCAAGTAGATCTTATCCAATTGTTTTATGAATTCAATCACATCTTTTGTTTTTATTAAAATATTTTGAAGGTCACAGCTTAAAATATTTAGTTCATTAGCAAATGTTTGTAAATTCAAACATTTTGAATGTTTGGAATGACTTAATTATTACTTTCTATGAGAAACAATTTATGTGAAAATATGTGAACATTACTTTAATAAAATGTACTGAGATACAGCCAGAGGTATGCAGACCTATATTTCAGTGTAGAGAAATTTTGCATCTTGTGTTAGAAAAGCAGAATTACAGAGGGTGTCACTCTGGTTATTCAAGGAATTATAAATTGTAATGCAATGTTTCCACCCAATTTGTATGAAAGCTATCCTTTTTTCACAGCATTAAATCTGGATAGATTTCTACATCAGCATGCTTAGATTATTATAGCAATCAGAAGGGCTATGATCACGATCACATAAAAAGACTAGAGTCTTTTCTGTCAGGTCCATTTCAGACCGTAAGAATCAGGGCTTTGCAGTTTAAAGATCTGATTACCATTTAAGGCTGCTTTAGAGCAGGGATGAATGAATTCATTTGTCTTACAGAGTTTTTCCATTTTTGTCTTGGGGCAGTTGCAGTGTGCTGTGGTTTTGAAGGACATTGTTATCAGTTCATTGCTATGGTCTGATGACTCTGGTTGCTGTTTGACTAGCTGATGTCACTCCACTTAATGGGGAAAGAGAGCCTATTAGATTGACCTGCCCCAATTGTGTTTCAGAGGAAGCTTGGGGCTTTCCCTGAGGATCCGGTGGGGTCAGATATCATCAATATGCTGATGATACATCTTGACCCTGAAGAGACCAAATTGTGATGGACTGGAATGGAGGAAGGGGGACGAAAACGGCGCTCTCGTCTCCAGAGCAATGCTCTGGAGATAAGCAGAAGAAACTGGCGCATCCCTAAACATTCCAGAAGATAGAGAATAGCTGTGCCTGGGAACTAGTGGTCAGTCTGAGAAGATTGATGTCAGGCCTAGCCCAAAGAACTCCTGGAGACCAT